TTAGCAGCCAGGTCCCTCAGTCCCTGGCCGCATCCTGCACCCACAGGCTTGGCCCGCGCCACTGGGTGCCTGCCTGCGGTGGGATCCTGCGAGGGGCCATGCAGCGGGGTGGGTGCCGTGCAGCAGGGTGCCGTGCAGCAGGGTGCCATGCAGCAGGGCGATGCTGTGGGCAGTGGCGAGGGACCCGTCGGGGGATGCTGCATCCTCCGGTGCAGCAGGCAGCCAGGAGATCCTGATTAGCAGCCAGGTACCTCAGTACCTGGCCGCATCCTGCACCCACAGGCTTGGCTGGGCCGCGCCACTGGGTGCCTGCCTTCACCCTGCACCGGGGTGCACTCCCAGCCTGGGGCACCCCGGGGTGCCCAGTGGTGGGGTCTCCCAGCCGGGCGGTTCCCCTTCTCACCCCAGCCCTCCTCTCTGGGCAGATGACGTCCCTCCACCGCCGGCGCCCTTCGCGCACCGTATAGTCACCCTGCGGTCTGCCAGCGTCAGCTCCCAGTTCAGTCTCAGCTCCAAGGAGATCCTGGGAGGGTAAGGAGGGGCCCCGGGAGGGCGCGGGACACCTGGCTTTCCCCCAGCGCGGCCCCGAGCTGCCGTCCAGCCTTGGGCAATGGTCCCGGGTCAATGGGACTTTTCTTGCCACGATGGGTTGGTGCCTCGGGCAGGATGGGTGCGGAGGGGAGCATGGGGCAGCACCCCAGAGCAGCGTGGGGGCTCCAGCAGCCTGGGCAGCTGATGGCGTTGGCATCTCTCCCTCCCTCCCCAGGGGCAAATTCGGCGAAGTCCACACGTGCACAGAGAAGCAGACGGGGCTCAAGCTGGCGGCCAAAGTGATCCGGAAGCAGGGTGCCAAGGACAAGGTCTGGCTGATGCTGGGGTGGGGGGCTCCTCCTGGCCACGGTGCCACCGGCAAGCGGCATCGCTAAGGTGGTGGGTGGCGGTGTCATGCCCGGTGTGTCCCCAGTGCTGTGATACAGCCTGTCCCCGTGCCGGTGGCTCAGCTAGTGCTGACACCCTGCACTGCCGTGGGGCTCATTCTGCAGGAGATGGTGCTGCTGGAGATCGACGTGATGAACCAGCTGAACCACCGCAACCTTGTCCAGCTCTACGACGCCATCGAGACCCCCCGGGAGATCATCCTCTTCATGGAGTTGTGAGTGCCAGGGTAGTGCCGTGTGGGGCCTGATGCCTGGGTGAGGGGCACCGAGGCAGGGGGTGCTGTAGCGATGGAGCGGATGTGCCAGCCCCTCGCCAAGCAGAAGGGGTTGGCCCCAGGGAAAGTCCCTCACCTCGCCCATCCCCTCTCGGGCACCTCCTCATCTCACGCTGGGCTTGGAGGCAGCCCCGGCTCTGCCTGGCCAGGACAGCATCTCCTTCTATGGAGGCTGCGCTGAGGATGGAGATGACCCAAGTCCTTCCCAGCTCCTTTTCCTCTTGCCCGCTTGCTCCAGGGAGGATGGGGCTGTGCTGCGGCTCTTCTGCTCTACAAACCCTGGGGGAGCTGGGGTGTTTTGGGGTAACCCCCCCCGTGCCTGCCTTGAGGGGGGTGTCTAATCCCAGCACACATGCATCCCACCGTGGCTCTGCTCAGCTTCTACACCAACATCTCCATGGTGGGGCTGGGCTGGGGGTCCCCAGAGCAGCTCTGGGGCTTCACAGGAGGGTGGCATGGGGCAGGGAGCCCCGGGTGACCCTGCGGTCCGTCCCCACGCAGTGTGGAGGGCGGCGAGCTCTTCGAGCGGATCGTCGATGACGACTATCACCTGACAGAGGTAGACTGCATGGTGTTCGTCCGGCAGATCTGCGAGGGCATCCGCTTCATGCACCACATGCGCGTCCTCCACCTCGACCTCAAGGTGCGGGGCCGGGAGTGGCGGCAAGGGCCGGCTGCTGTTTGCGGGGCGGGGGAATGCCGGGGTGTGGGGGGGGCAGCAGGTATTTGCAGCCACCAAATTGGGGAGCGCTGCATGCTGACCTGAGCCCTGCCGTGCTCGTGAGGGCAGCGTGTCCCCGACACCGGCCAGCCATGGGAGGGATGCCTGCAAGTCACTATCACTCCGGTGTGGGTCAGCCACAGGACCCGTGGGCTGCCAGACCCACGCGCTGGGGACATCCCCCGTCGGTGGTGGGGCAATGGTTTCCCTGTCCCCACAGCCCGAGAACATCCTCTGCGTTGCTGCCACTGGGCACATGGTGAAGATCATCGACTTTGGGCTGGCTCGAAGGTGCTGTCTTCCCCCCTCGACTCCGTCTCTCCTCCCTGTCCCCCTCCCACCCTTTGACCCCGCACGCCCTCGGGGTGCTGGGAGCCCTGGGACCCACTCTGGGCTGTGGCTTTGGCCGTGGCTCTGGCCCCAGCTCTCCCTGGCTGGCACGGGAGGGTTGGGGAGGGCAGCACCTGCTGGGAGGGGGGCAGTGGTTTGGG